TAGAGTTGTTGTTCCTCCTAAAGCAATTAATATATTTTCTTGCTCGATGCCTTTTGTATTTCTATGTACACTGAAATGTAAATGTTCTAGGAAATGAGAATTCAAGGGATACAATCACTGCTATATGGTGAGAGAGAGAAAGTCTCTCCTATGGAAGGAACCAGTATAAAAACATTATATGATATAGATTCTCAGATATGCAAAATTTTTAATGTTTGGTACACCACGTTTATTCGATCAGCACTATTTTATTCATGACAGAAACTAACAGGGTATATGATGTATTTTTTTAAAAAGTGGTTCAGAAGCATATTTTGTTAGCCTAAACTCCTGTCCCTTTGTTCTTGACAACCTGATTTCTTAATGATCTACAACTATGTTCCTTGGCAGGTTATAGTGTTAGGTCAAGTACTATACTCCTCCACTGTCTTCCTAAAGTTCCCTCCTTATAAAGAAGATGCCTTCCTTTCTTAATGTAGGGTGTACTTCCTTGCAGTGATACTAAGACTAAAATGAAAAACAATACTGTCTCTTGCTCTTAGTCCACGGACAATTTTTATGCCCAGTACTGTTTAACTTGTAAAAAAGGAAGAAACTCTTTTGGTCATTAGCTTCAGAAAACAGTCCTTTTACCTCAGTACTTATTACCAATATCCTTGGTCTCCAGTACAGGTGATGTATTAACCTCCAGCTGGATTGCCATCGCTATGGTCTATCACACTGAACTGTCATCACTATCACTTGAGGCATAATAACAAAAAGAACCCCAAAAACTCAATGCCATATCCCTCTATCAGCAAAAGTTCCTTTAAGTCTGAGGACAGGAGAAAAGAGAATAGTCTACCAGTGAAGTAGAATGTAGAGGTGTTTGAGCATTCTGTATAAAAGCTCTAATCTTGAGAATATCTGAGACATTAGTTCAGCATGGGGCCATGAAAAGAACAAATAAATGGATTTCTTTCTCTCCCATCCAATTACATATGACTAAGATCAGCAAGTAGAGAAATAGGTTCCTAATTTTGAGGACAGTCATATCAGTCTTCAACTTCAGGAGTGCTATTTTGGTACTTTAATTAGAAATCCTATAGAAAAATCAATCCAGTGCACACTTAACAAGAGGAAAACTGTTACTTGCTGTTGAGATAGCTGGTAGACAAGACAATTAAAGCAAATACTACAGAAACCTTGGGTTAAATGTCTAGATGCCTAAAAGTAGGTTATTTAGCTTGAAAAATACTCATACCACCACCACCACCCACATACAATTCAGTTAGAAATCAATCTTTCGGTTAGAGCATATTTCTAACTATACAGATCCCTTTTCTGCCTATTCTCAACTTAGTCAAAACAGATTGTCCTTTCTTATAGAAGGAAAGAGATGAGTTTCTTCTAGTATTAACTTCTCCATGGTAAAGATTTTGATAGACTAAACACTGAAAGAAAACTCAGAATTCTTCCCAAGAGTCAAGAATCATGCTCTGCTCAACGAGAGCTGTAAGTGAGGAGCTGAATAGTTTTGATTTGGGCTCTTCATGCTAAATAAAGGCCTAACATTACATGTGCTGAACGTTTCATCTACTGCGGAATGTGAACCCACAGATAACCTTTATTCCAATCCAACTGTTCATTAAGCATAGCTCAGGATTATTCACTAAAATGTTTCAGATTTCCCAAAATGTAGTCATAATTATTATTTTTAAAATGTCTTCAGACAAACCTACTTGGGTGTTTTTGACAAATACAAATTATTCTACTCCAAAATCACAATACTGAAACTCTATGCTTCTACTCCTCATCCTAATGATCTAATAATCGATTTTCATTTCATGATATGAATTTTTAAAGAAGAAAATGCTGTATTTATATAAGTTAACTAATATAAGTAGATATTAAAGGATGATACTGATCAAAGTCAAGGGTTTTAACTAATAAAATCTGAGCATTTTTTGGAAATGCTTTGCCAATGTAGCTTCTTTAAATAAGTTACACTGAGCTTTCACATAATAGAAATTTTGTTTAGATGACAAATGACATAAACACTAAGAAAAATCAAGTGGGAAGTATGTGGTTTTTTCAATTTTAAGTTTTGAAGAAAAAAACTCACCCCCTATGAAATATGTTAAAACCAAAACAAATACTTTGAAAAAAGCCTTCTTTCTAACGCAGACAGTTCACTCACTGTTCTAGCATTTTTAGTATGTACTTATAAAAATGAGACATTCTCTTTAAAATGACAAGTTGCATTTAAAGTTTAAAAATGTTTAGGGACGCCTGGGTGGTACAGTTGGTTAAGTGTCCAACTGGCTCAGGTCTTGATCTCAGAGTCGTAATACTGAGCCCTGTGTCAGGCTCTGGGCTCATAGGGGGTGGGTGGGGGTGGGGGGTGGTATCTGCTCCATAGGCTCTCTCCTCTCCCTCTGCCCCTCCCACTTGTATTCTCTCTCTCTCTCTCAAAATAAATAAATAAATCTTTTAAAAAATGTTTATTTTGACTTCCTTGGACAACACAGCTATGAAATGGTTTAGATTAACCACAGAAACGTAAAGTCTTAGCTAGTGGGGAGTTATTAAAATCACCACACCTGATGTTATGACTCTTCTTGCCAAAGACAGGCAATACTGATTTTTTTCTCCTCTGGCCAAAGACCTGAGTGACCACTTAATTTAGTCTTACTTAGGTAACAACAAACTAAAATATTTCCTGATTATATTCTCATTTTTCCTTAAAGCAAAAATTCAGTACTTAAAATACCGCTCATTGGGGCGCCTGGGTGGCTCAGTCGTTAAGCATCTACTTTTGGCTCAGGTCATGATCCCAGGGTCCTGGGATCGAGCCCCGCATCAGGCTCCCTGCTTGGTGGGAAGCCTGCTTCTCCCTCTCCCACTCCCCCTGCT